TCTTCTTCTACTAACTTTACTCTCCACTCTGGCCAAAAATACCTACATTTATCTTTTCCAACCATCAAAAAACATCTCTACCTATACCGGACCCACTCCCAAACCTAAACTTGTCCATTTCTGTACCACCAATCCATCATTGATCCTTATCCGACCCCCTTCTTGGCCAGGCTCCAGCCATTTTTCGGCTTTTTTCCTTTGTTTCCTGCCGATACCGACCCGGCTACCTCCAAGATTTTATCAAACCCTGGTCCCGCGCCTCACGTGGTCCGTGAAATCGGGCGATTCTCCAGGCTGACATCCGATTTTTGATTTCCACCTTTTTGGGGGAACGGAAACGGAAGTCTGATGCTGCTTGGCTTCTCTTTTTTGGGGGCTATCGAATCGGAGAATCGAATTTCAATCGCACAAGGAACGACGACGACGACAAAACAAATCTCCCACGTTCCCATCGTGTCCGTTTCCATCCAAAGAACGGCTGAGCGATTTTTTGTGGCTGCGGAAATGGCAAAGAAATACAGAGGCAAATAGAAAACCTGTGATTTGAGGGTTCAGAGTTGAGGGCATTTACAGGATATATTTTGGGGTAATGGACGGGTGGTATTTGAACTCTTAAAGCTGATGAAAAACCAGGGAAAGTCGGTAATAAATGAAACACAGTAATTATTGTGATTATCGAAATCCGCCGACAAAAAAAATTGAAATACGACTTTCCAAAATCGTGGATTTACTACCAGTTTTTCAAGTTTTTCGGCTTTAGGAAGCTATTTTCAAGGTACTGAAACGCATTCCCTAAATAATCTGAGTTTTCTAAAATTAGGATATTCAAAATCTGTAAGATCCAACACTACAGATCTAAGAAAAATTAAAAAAATATCGATTTTTGACCGCATGTGAGAAGTTTTTGTAGAATATCAAAGCTTTTGATCGAAGTCAGGTGTTTTTACGCATGTTGGACTGTCAAAGAGTCCGAAACTGTATTTTGTTCCTTGGAAGCTTAAAATTATCAGCTTTCGATGGTCGTTGGAAAATCAATCCCCACGACCAATCAAACTTTGATCCCAGCACCCGAATCCCTGAGCGAACACCGCGGTTTCTCTTTCGTGAGTTTCCCAGCAAGGAAAAGTTAAAAGATAGCTATTTTTCCACGACCCCGCCCCCCAATGAAAAGCACCAAGAACAGCAGGAAAAAGCAGCCAACTTTTCTCTTTTCGGTCTTCTCCTGCCGTTGTGTTTTCAGGGCAAACAAGTCAAAGCGACCCGACCCGCGGAGGTGAATCCATTTTTTGGTCGTAACCCCCGGGCCGGGGCCCTAAAAACGATTGGCAGGAAAGTTTGTGGAAGCACACACAGAAATACAGGCCAAAAGACAGACATACAAACCGTCGAAAAGACAGACAAACACCGGCACAACGAGCCCAAGTGAATCAGAATTTGGAAGGAAGGGAGCGGGGGGAGGCAGTGGATGGGGGGTTTTTGAAGATAAGGGGGAGCTGCACGAATTCTGGAGGCCCGGCCGCGAAAAGTGGCGTGCACTATTTTGGGGGCTAGAGACTGATCTCGTTGGATTCCGGAAGCTTGATTTTTGCTATTTTTCTACTCGTAGAGCTCGTCGATTTTGATGAAAAGCTTGTCGACGATATTGGAGACGGTTATTTGGTGCGTACCGTACTTTCGGCTTAATTTAACGATTTCGAAAGGGACTTTGGATGTCGAAACTTACTCCGCGATACGCCTTGCAACCAGTATATAGTCAAAAAGCGTAGATATTGATGTCATTAATGCTTTATAATGTTTACCGCGAAATCGAGTGGATCGATCCAGAGGATACCCATTAATATACCGTGTTTTAATGAGCAGACGTATGCCAAAAATCAGTTATTTCCTTCATTTACCCTATCATGTCGTATATATTTTTACTACGCACTTCTGAATGGTTCTGGTGGTTAAATAATTTAATATGGTGAGCTTACGAGATCAAGGCTCTTAAAATCATTAAAAAATGTTGATATTTGGTATTTGAAGGTCATCCTAGGTATATTGAAAGTACAAATTATATCAGGGATTTGCGGGCTGACGATTTTGAAGGAATTTTGATATATCTTCATTTTTCAGTCGATCCCGACGCGGCAAGGACTAGAGCGGGGACGCCGGTGACCTGGCGTGGCGCTTCCGTCTCGCACACCGCCCAAACGAAAGCTGTACCGCCCGAGCAGAACTTATGTGTCGAAGATTCGATCGATGATCAGGTTCGTTTTTATGGGTTTTAAAATTATAAAAATACCGAAAACACCGCCGAATTGTCAAAATCTGTTTAGAACTCGTCGTGGCCAATTTTCTGCAAACTTTAGATGTTGCAATTCCAATTTTTGTAGCTTCCTTGTTAAAATTGCTACTTCATTGTGGCTTCAAATTATCTAATTTTTGATCGCCCGGAGCGCGGCTTTTAATAAGGCCGTATACAGCTATCAGTACTTGACGATTTGTCGACCCTACTTATGCCATTTTCTGATTTGAATCCGGAACGGAATGATGTTGTGAAAATTTGAGAGAATGCATTCTTGACGGCTGATAAACTACAATAAATATAAACCTTAAGATTACCTTAACGGAGCTAAAACCCCTGTTTTAATTTTTAACTTTATTATCCATATCATATAACTACCGAGTGGAAAAAGACCGCTTCGCAGCCCCTTTTCCACTGGACCAAATCAGGAAACATGAATCTGAATACCTTCTTTTTTAGCCTGCGGCGCAAGAGCATGGGTCAAGGCGTCATTCTTTGGCCTGGAGAGCGAGGAAGCAGAGACCCAGGATCTTTTCTTTGGCCTGCGGCGCTGGAGGGAGAGCCAGGCCTAAACCTCGCGCTAGAACCCTTTTGCAACGGCGCTGGTTACTGGTTTTTCTCCCGGATTAGGCCTGCGGCGCAGCGGCCTCGATCAAGGACCCATCATTGGCCTGCTGCGCGAGAGCCTGGAAAAGGAGATTTCCTTCCGGCTGCGGCGCTAGAGCGAGAGCCACGCCTAAACCTAGACCGGACAAAAAGAAGAAAAGCGCAAAGAAAGCCTGAAACCGCCTTTGTTTTGCTAAACTATCAAAAGCAAAAAGGATAACTCGCACAGGATTCGAAACCGACCATACGGGTGGTAGACCGGGCGCAAATCCACTACACCACGGGGCAGATGAAAACAACCGGTGGGAAAGGCCTCTTCTGCCCTGGGGGAGGAGGACAGGGCGAAGGAAAAGACCACGCAATGATCCCCGGGAGGAAGACAGCTGGTCACTTTACAAAAAATTCAATTTTGGAGATGCAAACTGCTGAAAAATTTATAAAGATAATAAGATGCGCGTAATCCCCACTATCAAATGCATAGGGTTGTCCAAATCGCAGCCCGAAATTCCATCAGGGTTTAGAGTTATGCCCCGGACACCACGGCTCTGTTTAGCATTTTGTTAAGGATTTTTACTATTTTGTACATAAAAATGTTAAATGAAGGAATTTCGAAAAACAAAAAATGCGTGTCTGGCAAATGCATTTCTCCCGCCTCCATGCCCAAAGTCAGCGCGAAATTCGGCCTCACGGCCGAGAAATCGTCGTCACAGAAAACAAACATACTTTTCTCGCTTATGGGATCAGGATTACTCGGCGTCTTACTAAACCCTTTAAAATGTTAATATGCGTAGAATTTCCCCATAGCAATTTGCTACGAATACACCCCAGCTAATTTCGGGCTTCGAGAATTAAAAAAATGAAGCGAACTCACATTTTCCAACTCTTCGAATCCCCTCGAAATCCTATTTTCCAAAGTTTCCAAATCTGCAAAGGAATTCCCAAAACTGCTAAATTGCCTCCCACACAATTGTCCAGCTTTGTTCGGCTGTTTCCGCAGCATTTTTTGTCCAATTGCACTGCCCTTTTCGAATGGCGATGGGAAGCAGGCGGCGGCCGGGCGCCTGGCGCCCATTCTGCCCCCTGCGACCGTAGCCAATCAATACCCGGCCGGCCAATGCCCCGGGCGTCGCAGCCCGCGCACGCCTCGCCCCTACCGAGCCATTTTGGTTCTGCCATCCCGTCGCCTCATTTTTGCGCGCGATTTTCGGCCCGTTTCCGGCAAACAAAGGCAGCTGGATTGGCCTGGTCGAAACGGCCACTGTCGATAGCCGGGGATGATCCGATTGAAGTGAGTTTTGGGCGGAATTTTTGGATTAAGAGGTTTTTCACAGCTTTTCCCTAGGAAATCTGGCAGAAAGCATATACCCTTGAAAATAAATGTTCAGAATACATATACAAACTCAACATTTTATATCATAAATTACCTAGAAAACTGTATATTATTTGGATTCACCAACCGTTTCCACGTTGATTTCTCCATTTTTGTGCTTTTCTTAAAACAGTTCTTTTAAGGTTTTTTAGGTGTTTCTGATAAAAACTGGCTATTGGTTACCAGAAAATTTTTGGGATGTCGTAATTGGCACCGAAAGCCTGATAAAATCCGTTCAAAATAAATTGATAAAATAAAGATAAAGTTCATTTTCAAAGGGTCTTACCTTGAATCACGACATTTCATTAAATTGACTTTTGTTAATCGATTATGACAACTAAGCGCTTTACAAATAAGGCCGATTTTAATTGTCTTTATTATAGCAATTCGGCTAGAGCAATGCCGTAAAGCTGATTTTAGCGTTATTTTCCATCAATTCTGGCCTGAATTTTCGATATGTATGACGACGCCCTTATTACAATTTGTCTATACGCGTTAAAGCTATTTTTAGACAGCTTTTTCAAACCCGGGAACCTTAAAAATATCGCTGTACATCCGGTCAATATCCCCTTCCGGCTGCCGGGCTGAAAAATCCGATCTGACACGCCCTAATGAAAAAAACAGACACGACGGGTCCCTGCTGTTCCCTTGGGCGGCTAATTTGGTACCGGGGGAAGGGGAACGCCACTCGGATAAAAATACAACAAAAATAAACTTTATAACCTCGGGAAATTTCAGATGATCGAGCGCTTCTCCCAAATCCCCGGCGGCGTCGACACCAACGAGTGGCTGGCGACGCATAGTGAGTTTTTAGGATGAAAATGGTTTCACTGTCCTTTTAAAAATTGCCCCTTATGGACACGATACTTCTACTACGTTTGAGTTCCTTCAAAATATTCAAAAAAACTGTTTTTAATGTCGTTTGATGAATATTTGGATCAATAATAATTTTTTTAAAGGGGTTGAATTTTTTCGATATAAAGTGCCTTTAAAATCCTGAAATCAATATGACATCGATCAAAACTATATTCTACCCGTTTGCAGCCCTCGCCCTGTTCGACCACGTCAACGCGTTATGTGGCAGCATATCGGAATTATGCACGCCGGTGGCGTGTCCGGCAATGTCTTTTCCCGGCACAAGGTCAGCAACGTCTATAGAAAATAACAATACAAAAATACGTTGTAGCAAACAGCGATTATGACAAATATATAATTTTGCTAGTCTTGAAAAATCTCAAATTTTGGAAAACATTGCAAAAACGGCTGACATTCTCGAAAAATACGTTTTTTTACTCGGAAAAGACAAGCTAGCGAATTAGTTTTGAGAATTTTATAAGCTGCGACGTTTGCCGTAACGAAATTATTGCCTATTTTAGCAAAGCCATCTTCGTGGACGAGCGAGGAAACGGCATACCTACACGGCTCCTCAGTACATCGACTGCGTGATACTCATTTCGCGAACAAAAATAAAATTTACAGGACTTCTTCCCCTGGGATACGGTAAGTCGACCAAAAATTACCCAAATACCGATAATCGCGAAACGAAAAATCTCAAAGGATCTCTGTTAGCTTGCCACGCTCTGGGCAATACGAAAAATACTGAAAAACCTCGGATTTTTCATTTAAAAGTTCTAGAAAAATAAGTTTGAATCGCGCGGTTTTTTTGAATATTTTGTTGCGCTAAATCTTCTCTGCTAGATACCCAAAGCCCAGGGTACTGGGATGCCAAATAAATTCCGATTCCGCTAAAAACAAACAGCCCCAGAACGAACTTTCAGTTTTTACTTCTTTGTGTATCTTTTTACGCGTCCGGTAACTCCCTGGCCTTGTCTTCGCACCCGTGCTGAAACCCTAGCGCCCCAAGGCTATACCCCAAAGATTGTCACAAGATTTTTGCTATCAGATTTGGTGGCTGTAGCTGCTTACACGATATATTTGCGCATCTTCCACCCGAGCGTCCCACACCCTCGAGGGCGCATCGTAAATAGGCGTGAGAGGTGTAGCGGACGGTTGCTCATGATCCTAGGGGACCAGTGGATAGACACACAGACAGATGGACAGACATTACCCATATTATGAGTTTACCTAAAAACGGAGAAGAAGATGTTGGCCCGGTGGAAAAATGTGAATGGAGTGACTTGAATTTTTGCAATTAGGAGACCTAGAAAACTAAGAAAACGACGATGGGTAAGCTAGCAGAGACCATTTTGGGAGATGGCAAAAATTCTCGACGTTAAAGATTCAAAAATTTGATGCTGATTTTTATTTTTCAGGTTCAACATTTTCGGGTGAAACTTTCCAAAAGGGCACTGCCGACAGGTAATACAGCTACTATGGCAATGCTGTGGCCATTTGTACACGAATCACTGGGATCAGATGGGTAAGTGGATGTAAAGGTTTATCTATCTTCTCTCTCTCTCTCCTTCTCTCTCTTTCTGTCTCTCTTCCTCTCCCTCTCCCTCTCTCTCTCTCTCACTCTCTCTATATATATATATATATCTCTATCTCTATTTAGCTCTCTAACTCAAACTATTTCAGGCGTTCTCGACCTCCGACCACAATGCGCCATGGTTCTGGCGCACATGTCTGTAGTCAATACAACAAAATTTTTGGATTCTCGAGCTTCAGGACCAGCAGCTGGTCAATAACACAGTCCAGTTGGTGAGTGGTTCCGGACGTTTTCAAAGGCCTAACCTTGACTAAAAGTAGCTTTGTACTCTCATAGTGATGAAAATTACCTGTCTTCGCCGATTTTACCTTACCCATTCCAGATCCGTCCCGCCTACGTCCCGGTGATGCCACTCTCAACGAGGAGCCCCTCAACACTACCACTCGGAGCGGAACCCCCACGTTACTCCCGGGTCCCATCATCAAAATCAGGGTCCTGGGGCGATCACTTACGACCTACCCAAGTATTATCCATAAAACCCTATGCCCAGACGATGGTGAAATTAGAGAGTCCTTTGTCCCGCGTGTCCAATTATTATGGCGATTTCTATATATCGATATCTACGATACATACTATAGACATGTAGGACATCCCCGTGTGTGTGTCTCACCCCCAATCCCCGATCACAAAACCGGTTTCACGATTTGCTTGGCTTTTTTGAGGGTGAGAATGGGCTTTATCAGAGGTAAAATTGAATTTAAATTAGTGTAAAAACACGCCTTTTGTAAACATCCGTTTTAAAAGGACGATGACAGCAAGAAAATAGCTTAAAAAGGCTCTTCTTTCAACTAGCATATTCTGAAAATTTAAAAGAATCAAAAACTAGTTTAAATGGGCGATGATAGCAAGAAAACTCGCTAAAACGTGCCAAAGGTCAGTTTTTGGCGAAACAAAACACTGCCTTTAAAAACAAATTTTTTTTGATTGGAGCCTTGAAGTTGCTGTCACGCTCCTTTTCAACAGTTAAAAGCTATACTCAACTGTTTTAAAAAAATTCTAAAAAGGTTTTTAGTTCTTAGAAAAAGTCCATCCTCACCCCCAAATCCCGATACCTGTACACATTTCTCGAGACCAAGAAAAATGCAATTTTCTGTATCTGGCTTTTTATTTCTGTAAAATTCACCAAAAATAAAAGTTTTCCGCAACTTTCCGATCCCCCGGAAGCTCTCTGGGGCCGCCGCTTTTCCCCTGAATGTCCTCGCTGAATAGCCCCGAGTTGGACCCTTTTTCTACTACGAATTTTCCACTTTACAGCTATCCACACCTTGTCTTCCTCCAGCGAATACCAGTGTTCCCCCTCTATTCGATTTGCGGACTCCCAAGAATACCTATACCTATATACAAAGTCTTGAAATACCTTACCGTTACACTCCTCTTTACACCTCCCTGCCCGGTACAGCTATTCTTTGGTAGCACGACGACCATTTTTCAAGTTTTTTTCCAGACCCTTTAATAGTACCCCATCATTAGCGCGTGTTTTTACAAGTTTTATTCAAACTCCCTTAGCGAATTACGGTCCTATTTTTCTATACTTTTTCTGGATTTTACCATCTTTCCCATACATTGTTGATCGCCGAAACAAAAACAACTCTGCGATGAAAACCATCTGTGTTATTTTCAGTTTTAATGATTTCCTGTGGAGAATAAAAATTGGATATAACTTTTGAGCTATTAAAGACACTACAGGCCATAAAGCTTGCAAAATACAGGTGAAATCAGCTGGTAATTACTGCAATAATTTATTCAGAATCCAGACTACCTCGTATTTGGTCATTAAAAGGACTAGCATAAGTAAGACGTATTTTGGTTTTGGTTCAAGTGGAAGAGAGAGGATGTAGTGTGTGAGAGAGAGAGAGGAGGTAGAGTGAGGGGAGGGAGAAAGAGCGTAAGAGAAGAGAGAGAGCGAGAGAGAGAGAGGGAGGGAGGAAAAGAGCAGAGGAGACAAGTTTAATTAATTAAGAAATTGTGAGTGTATGGAGAAAAATCTTATAAAATTAAGGTATCCTGTGTTTACTGACAGAGTTTGGTAAAAAAGATATTGGCCATCCCGAAGTAGTTTTGCTGGCGGCAACCGTTTGGTTCATTGGATTGGCGTGTTTGTCCCACAGGGATAGACCTGAAAATTGGATATCAAATCGACCTATAACCATTCATTATGTATATTCAAAGGCAGAGGCAGGCCCGTGGAACCGAGTTTCCGGGGCAAGAATGTGGTGACCCCCCCTCGCCCCCTCCCTGGACGCCACTTTAAAACATCCGAAAATCGCGTCAATAATAGCGCCGCAGGCAAAAAAAATCGCAACAAAACGTTCGCTACACTCAAATTCGTGTGAAAACACGGCAGAAAAGCACCGCAGGCGAAAATTTTTTAATGCTGCGAATTCACGAATGAAAAACCAGCGCCGCAGTCAAAAAATTTTGAAAAATGGGCTTTATATAAGTAAAAACTGTTTCAAAAACAGTAATTAACAGCGCCGCAGGCAGAAAAATCTGTGCAACTAAAAATCATAAGGGTCCCCCCTTATGAATTTTTCGGACCTCGACCGATTTCGGGGGGGCAGAGCCCCCTGGGCCCCCACCCTCCTACGGGCCTGGCAGTGGGACTCAGTTTTAACAGTTTCGTGCTGGTTCATATCGTCTATACCGAATTACGCCTCGTGTATGCTCTTCCGATTTAAAATTTCCGATTTTTTGACTGCACTACCGCTGAAAATTACCTGTAAAATTATGAAGCTGGTCGCGACGTTCAGCACGGAGAAGATGATCAAAAAGAGCCGATCCAAAACCATGGCCACAAAAGTCCAATCATCAGAGATCTAAAAAAAAGTGGAAGAATGGCGGAGTTAACCGTTAATTCCATACCTCGGCCTCTTTTTCGTTGTGCATAAAATGTTCAGCGATGAATCGGACTTGTTGTAGCAAATTATGAAATATAATATCGTTCATCTGCTGCGTGTTCTTTTTTGGTTTCTTGAAAGCCACGGTCGGGGCCATTTTCTCCTTTTCTTCTGGCGGGGCGTAGAGACGGGTCTAAAAGGTATCGTAGCTTAGGCTTGGCCTTAAGCACATGCTTAGGCTGATGCTTAAGGCTTCAGACAGCAAATTATAATCATATTTTTTAAGGCGTAAAAGCTACCTCAACCTCGTCCAATCGTATATCCGTGCGGAATCCAAAATTCCTGGAAGCAAGTTGCTTCTTCTTGCTTTCTCGAAGTAGACTTCTGGCGACTTTCTCCTCATTTCTTGAAAACATCGTTTGGAGCTCATTAATAATCGGTACCTGTATTTAGCTCCAACAAGGCTAGCCGCATCTACCAGTGCTGGTGGCTTCACATCGCTTTCCGGTTTCTTTGGACGCTTCATCATCAGGATTCTAGAAAATACGCGGATAAGGAACATCAAGGAAACATTCCAAAATCAGGGAAAAGGAAAGGAAGGAAAGGAAAGAACAATTACGTTGGTAGCCACTGCAAAAACAGCGTCTGAATCCAAGGTGACATGCGATGGGCCGATCCAGAGCGGAAACGGAAGTTGACCGTAACGACTGAAAAATGGATTTTATCGTAGCTTTAGCCGAGAAATGTCTATAAAGAGTCATACAATGCTTACCAGAGACTGCCGTAGATAAAGCGACCAAAATCATCGTAGTGATCAGGTATCGGCCAAACATCGGAATAACCAGGGAAGTGGGAGGCATTAGATCGATCAGGACCTAAAAAGCGATCGATATAATTTTGTATGGGAGAGAGAGTGAGAGAGAGAGAGAGGAGAGAGAGAGAGAGAGAGAGAGAGAGAGAGACGCGACGATATCAACCCTTGGACTTACCAAGAAAAACACAGTCAATGTCACGAGAATCGAAATCGAGAACGTGATCTTGTGGTCGGAGAGGTAGAATACGAAGGTGGTCAGGATCGAGATGAGGAAGCAGGGTAGAATCAAATTACAAGTGAAGAACAAGGTCTTTCTTCTAAGCAGGAATTCGAAGGTGATGTC